AGTAAGGGTAGGAGCGATGCGCCATGTATTCGATAAAATTGGGGTGGGGTGGGGGTTATGCACGCCATGTGTTCGATCAAATTCCCAACTTCATGGCGACTACTTGGCCCTTGCTATCAACGTTGTAACTCTCCTCAGGGTTGCTCGAAATGTTTATGTCATGGGCAAGGCTAATTTTGTGTACTCCAAAGGCTAGCTTCTCTTCCATATCTTCTGTGTATATGGTTTGACTCAAATTACAGTAGCTTCTGGTCTCTTGGGAATTAGATGGGCTAATTGGTAGGTATAAATATTAGATAATGCTTTGACCTATGACGGTGGTTTACTGATAAGCTTCTTTTGTTAAAGCAGAATGGGCATTGTAAGATTTTGAAAAAGGGTGTTTCGGCTCTACCTGTTTAATACTATACTACTAATTGAATAATTAGAATACGTAGTTCATGAACTACATGTTTGAAATTTCATAGAAATTGCAGCAATTCCTGCTTTTTTTGCCCAATAACTCTTATCAAACAAGCAATTCGTAATTTCCTTATGTATATTTTTATATCTCCACCTTCAATTTGTGAATACTTTGGTGGAATTTATTCAAAGCAAGTGTTTATGTAATTAATGATCTATGTGTCACGAACAACCGGACAAGTGTAAATATTCTTTCTAGTCGTCCAAATCTTTTGATATGAATATTTTTCTTTACTACTTACAGGATTGGGGAACTGATGAATCCAAGAAAAAGTAACTACAAGGAAAAAAAAATAGGCAGAAAGGTAGCCTAGATAATTGTGCCACAGGAACATACACAGGTGGTTCCTTGTCATTTCGAGAAAATCTCACAAATGCGGTAAGAAGTAATAAATAGAAATGATAAGATTAGCTTCATATGTTACTTGTATATAACCTGTGAAGTTCAATTACGTAATTAACGCTATATACAGATAAAGACTGGAGGAGAGAAACGAGCCCTCATTCGTACTTTTTTACGAACAAAGACAAAGAAACATGATCAAGTGACATTTGTTGATGACAAATCACGAGAAGTAGCGGTAAGTTAGTCAATTGTGCACATACATCATAATATATATGTCATTTGTGCACAAAAACTTCTAGATTTAAAAGAACGAAAAAAACAGAGAGAATAAAGAGTCAAAGTGAGAAAAAGGATGGAAACAGAGAGGGTAAGTGAGGTCATCATGATATTTGTCTCTAGGGAAGAAGTAGAGGAATTAACATGTTCTACTCGCATGTTCTCCTCTCAAAAAAGGGGCATTTAGGGAATATTTGGATTGCTGCTCATATCTTATTCTGTCGGCAAGTAGTCTTCCATTTCCATTGCTTATTTGCCTTTTCACCTGATTTCCACCCCCCGATGCTCTTTCCCCATTTTAATCTTTCTTTTTCTGTCATGCATTGGACGCCTGATAATTAGTGATCTTGTCTCCATTTGAAATAGATATAGTTCCCAACCCTTGCTCGAATTGCTCACTGTATGGGCAGTGTAGTGTGGTGGTTGTTTTCATTTGAAACACATTAACATACATCATAGTATATATGTCATTTGTGCGCATACATCATAATACATATGTTATGCTAACATTGTAATAATGTGTGAAGGCGACATATGATGCAATGGAGCGATCACACAAAAGGATAATGTTCAAGCCTCCGAGGAGGAGTTATACTACTACTCGGTTGATGGACATGATCCTAAATACCGTGTCTTTGGAGTAGGCAGGCAAGATGTCAAGGACTACGTCTCGGGAGAGATCTTTCAAACGCCGACGTAGAAGTGTAAGTTCCGCTGCCGAATCCTATGCTGCCTCTCAGCCCTCTGCGATGCAAACTTTGAAGGGGGATATAGTCCAGATGCTTCGGGAACCCATTGCTCAAACAATCCTAGAAGAAATGCATAAATTGTTTGGAGATCGTTTACCCCATAGGATAGATGGACCCGACGGAGACGGAAGGGCACCTTTATGTTAGTTAATAATGCTTTAATTGTTTTTATTTACAAGAATAGATCAGATATTATTATTCAGAAGTTTGATAAGTACTTGGAGGTTATTTTGATTAATGAATAGTATTGAAATTTCGGCTTTGTTGAATACATGTGTGTTTGAGTTTCCCCTGTATATAGATTGTGCATGGTATGAAATTGCACAAGCACTACGTTGTGCATTTTTGGAATCTTGCAACGGGAGCATTGTGTTGCAATCGATACGTTACCAATTTCTGTTGCAAATAATTTTTTTCCGTAGCAAACATTAGCAATGGAGTTGCTGTTGTGCTTTTTCTGTGGCAATTTTTTTGCAACGGAACAAATGGTTGCAAACTTGTGATGCAATGTATTGCAACGGAACTACCGTTGCAAAATGTGGCAACGAAATGTTTGTTGCAATGCTTCTGTTGCAGCATTCCGATGCAATGCTCTGCAACGGAAATTCTGTTGCAGGAGTGCATTTGCAACAAGGGTTTTTGCAACGGCAGAATTGCAACGGAAAAGCTGTTGCAACAAGCATTAGCAACGGAATTATTGAAGAAATGCAACGAAACGTGCCGTTGCAATTACATCATATTCTTGTAGTGGTAGCGCAGATCTTCGGAATCCATGGAAATTCACCCACCCACTTGTCTCGTTTAAATCCGCTGGTCTGGTACAAGTGAGAGCAACTTGGTGAAGGTATCAGAGAGGAGGAATAGAGACGAAAGAGAGGAGGAAAACCCTAGATCTAAGAGGTTTGTGGAAGAGGATGGCGTGAAGGAGTAAATGGCAAAGAAGTAGAGGTAGATAATAGGTGGGTGGCGTAGAGTAAATGGGGATAATGACGATGAATGAGAGGGAGGGGTATAATTGACCTTTACCCTTCAATTCCTTACTAAATTTAGAAATGGGAAGTTTTTTTGTGGACGGATGAAAAAGGAAAGTGGGAAGTTCTTTTTTGGACGGAGGGAGTATAATGTAAGTTCTAGNTGGAAATTCACCCACCCACTTGTCTCGTTTAAATCCGCTGGTCTGGTACAAGTGAGAGCAACTTGGTGAAGGTATCAGAGAGGAGGAATAGAGACGAAAGAGAGGAGGAAAACCCTAGATCTAAGAGGTTTGTGGAAGAGGATGGCGTGAAGGAGTAAATGGCAAAGAAGTAGAGGTAGATAATAGGTGGGTGGCGTAGAGTAAATGGGGATAATGACGATGAATGAGAGGGAGGGGTATAATTGACCTTTACCCTTCAATTCCTTACTAAATTTAGAAATGGGAAGTTTTTTTGTGGACGGATGAAAAAGGAAAGTGGGAAGTTCTTTTTTGGACGGAGGGAGTATAATGTAAGTTCTAGCTAGTCAAGAAGGTATTGTATATTCACTATGGTGTATGACAAATGTGTGTTTTTCTTGTATCACCAACGTTCCCAACTTCCCACCATCACATTGGGAACCAATGTTATGGGATGACCCGAAGGTGCTCCGGTGTCTCGTTCGTAAAATTGACGGATCCTACCTCCGGTAAACTCCCTCAACCCGCCCTGACCCGAACACACCTCCCCATCCCCATCAATTGCACCTCACAAGTTGATTTTGACTTTGGAGTCAAAATTTGACTCCAAAGTCAAAATCAACTTATGCGATGCAATTGAAGGGGGTGGGGGATGTGTTCGGGTCGGGCGGGATGAGGGGGTTTACCGGGGGGTTAGAGGGGTAGGAACCGTCAATTTTACGAACGGGGCACCGGAATACCCTCGGGTCATCCCATAACATTAGTTCTCAATGTCATGAGAACGTTGCCCGTTTATATAATGGTTCATTTACTAAACAATGGACTTGTTAGTTTCCAATTCTTAATGCCCAAAAGAGATTATAGTTTGAATTACAACTGTTAGTTTACCCGGCCAATATATATAAACTTGTAGTTCACTAATTATTGGTATCCCCATTGTGCATTAAGAAATTGAATGAAAACACAATAAAAACACTACAAAATCATGAAATTTATCAATGTATGAGAATTTGAACTATTGAAATTTATGTAAATACTAAGTACACTTATAGGGCCAAGCAAACTATGAAGGCACCTAGGGCCCAAAAGTAAAGGGGCTCCTAAATTTTATTGCATGTATCTATGTATACACACATATCTTTGTATTAAAATAAAATTAAATTTTCATCAAAAAAGTATATTAGTGGATGTAGTTTATAGTTAGACCATTTGGACAAAGTTCTTATTTTAAAAGACCATACGGAAGTTAAAAAGAGTTGTTAACATACAATGAGAACTCTCTTGTTGATGTTTGATCAGTCTATTTTAAAAATTTTACTCTACATATAATACGAGATGAAAAAATTATACGAGTAATATTTTATCAAATAAATAAGAAAAATAGTTAAAAATGTGTTCGTCAATTTTTTCTCATAAATATAATAGTACTTTGTAATGCATTGGTTCGAAAAAAATCTTAACTTTGTTTTTTAAGAAAAGAACGTGTAGCTCAAAAAAAATATTTCTCCCTTCCCCCACTTCTAAGTTTTACTACACTTTTTTCTTATTTTTAATATTTTCCTTAAACTCCATGATACTTAAACGAAGAAATTTTTTACAAGATGGAGGTAGTAAACAAACTCTTTTTCAAACAGGATGACTATGGGTATTTCTTTAATTTGTTCTCTCCCTTCCCAAAAATGATACTCCTTCCGGCCCATTTTATATGGCATGTTTCGATGTACGATATTCGACTGAATCTATTTTTAATTCAATTTATAAGATAATAGAGTGGAGTTAAAAAATAAAATTTAAATATTTGAAATTTTTATCAAAAACTGTACAAAATAAAAATAATTAACTAAATTAAGTGATGAAAATTAAAAAAACTTGACCTCTAAAAAGCAGAGGCCAGAGGCTATCTCTTCTACTGTGGACAAAAATGTGCAAGTGTGTTGTAGTAAAAATGAGTAACATTTTACTCTTAAAATTGAGGATGAATGTTTTTCACCAAGATCTAAACACACACACATACTATTTCATAAAAACAGATTATCATTTATTTTATTTCAAAAATAAAGATTACAATTTTTTCTAAAAATAGAAAGTAGAAAAAAATGAAATCTTTTAATGGGAGAGAGGGAGTATTATTGTTCTTGAGACCAAAAATATGAGTGATAATCGGTGGAATATTATGTTTTATACGAAAAAAATCATCTCAACCGTGTTCATATTATATTTTTGGGGTATTGTGTCTAATTCTTTTTAATTTTCGTTTGACCAAAAAAATATTTGGAAAATAGATAAATAAACCCGCACGAACTCAAATACAAAAACTTGACAAATAAATCCTAATAAATGAACATAATTAAGACTAAATTGTTTTAAAATGCAATATTTTTCACCCAAAATGAAACCTCAAACCTCATACAGAGTATCTTTTTCAATTTGTCCAGAAAAAAAAAAGAAATAAAAAGAAATAACAAAACCTCCATAGCTCCCACTGTAAAAATATGATTGGGGTTGAAAATTGAGGTTTGAAAAGGGTTAAAAACTCATTTTTTGGGTTTGGAAATTGGGGTTTCGAAAATTAAGAAATTATATTTACAAAAAAAAAAAAACTCAAAATCAAGTTTGAATTGAAATTACCTCTTCTCAGTTCTCAGCTCCCTTCTTCTTCTTCCTTCTTCTTGCCTTCAAATCCTTTTTTCTTCTCTCTCTACATCTCTCACTCTATGTATCACTTCTTATATATACTGTAAAAGTAATGTTTCTTCTTTGAGCATAGATTAAGGGTATATTTCCATTACAACCTCATCCAATAAATTTTACCATTTGTGATAATTTACTTGGTGAGCACACATAAAAGGGTCATGGTCTGGTCCCAATGGCTTGGGGTTCATGGAATGCCCTGCCCGACTCGTTTGCGAACTGATTCTTTTTTCGGTTTTTTCTTTCTTTCTTTGTACGGAGGAGTATAAATAAACGGTCGTGGCTTCACATCCCTCGAACGGCTCATTTTGTTGTTAAGTTCTCCCTCCAATTTCAAGAAAGAAAGATTTCCACAACTCATCCCGCTTCTCTCTTCTCTTCAACATCAAGAAACTCACCCCCGCCAGCAATGGCGACGACCACCGCCGGAAAAGTCATCAAATGCAAAGGTATTAAACACTCCGCCGGTTCACCACCGCCGGCTATATCCGTCCTCATTCCCTTGTAAAGTTAAAGTCGCCACCTTTGATTTTAACCCCTTTTCTCAATTCAAGAAACCCATTAACCCGTTTCTTTTTCTTGCCGCGCAGCTGCCCTCGCGTGGGGTCACAATCGGCCGCTGCAAATTCAGGAAGTGGAGGTTGCGCCGCCTGAGGAAAATGAAGTCCGGATCAAAGTCATGTTCACTTCCCTCTGTAAGGGAGATATACACTACTGGAAATTCCACAAGGTCGGCAATGGTTACCCATCTCAATATCTCATCATCTTCCCCATTTCCCCTCTGTTTCTTGATCCATGATTGCTCACCCACTCTGTTTCTTGATCCATGATTGCTCACCCACTCTGTTTCTTGATTGATTACTGATTACGGCTCATCCCTTCTGTTTCTTGATCGATTATTCTTACCCACTCTGTTTCTTGATCGTGTTTTCAGATTAACCGCATCTTCCCCAGAATTCTGGGCCACGAAGGAGCAGGGTATGTATATTTTCTGAAACTCTGTGTCGAGTTCATTCAAAGAGAACCTGTAATAAACGTAAAGGCTTGATTTTTAGGATTGTTGAGAGCGTCGGAGAGGGTGTTACTGAGGTGGCGCCTGGGGATCACGTCCTGACGGTGTTCACAGGGGAATGCGGGGGGTGCGACCACTGCTTGTCGGAGGAGAGCAACCTGTGCAGTTTTCTGACCTTCGAGCCGGAAAAAACCACATTGGGAGATGACGAAAAGTCGAGGTTTTCTTACAATGGAGTCCCGGTGTATCACTTTGCCGGCACTTCCACTTTCAGCGAGTACACAGTGGTTAACTATGGTTGTCTTGTCAAACTCGACCCCATGGTTCCTATGAACAAGATCTGCGTTCTGGGATGCGGAATTGCTGCAGGTATCCCAAAAGACAGAGCTCTTTACTTTCTTGTTGCATTACAATTGGTTCTCTGCATCAATACAAGTATGGGTTTTGTAACTTATGTTGTGCCTCAGGCTTGGGTGCTGTGTTGAATGCTGCTAAACCGAAACGGGGCTCCACGGTGGCGATTTTCGGACTGGGAGACGTAGGACTTGCAGTATGTAGTGCCTTTAGCTGTCTATTTATGATACTGTAATGCCTTGGAAGGTGAAATGTGGTTTAACTTTGTTCCAAATTTCAGGCTGCAGAAGGAGCAAGAATATCTGGTGCCTCAAAGATCATAGGAGTTGACACTGATCCTTCCACTTTCACTAGAGGTTACTTTTACTAGTTCTTTCAGTCAGCACATTTTGATGGAGAAAACAGAAATGACCCATAGATGTTCTCATTTTGTTCTTGCAGCACTAGCGTTTGGGGTGACAGTGTGTCTGAACCATCTGCAGTACGACAAGTCGATTCAAGAAGTCATTGCAGACATGACTGATGGAGGAGCCGACCGGAGCGTGGAATGCAGTGGAGAAACTGAAGCAATGATCGCCGCATTTGAATGCGTTCATCAGGTACCTATGTCTCCCTTTATGTCCATATCTATATATGCGTGACAGGTCAAAATTTAAGATAAATGTGGCACGATTTGTGTGGGTAGGGGTGGGGCATGGCGGTTCTGGTTGGGGTGCCGAATATGGAATGCAAGAGGCTGAGGCTTGACACGGCGAAAGTGGTTGAGGGGAGGACAGTCACTGGCTCTTTCTTTGGGAACTACAAAGCCCGGTCTCAGCTGCCACAACTGGTGCAGATGTACATGAACCAGGTATGTAGATATGGATATATATTAGCTTTGTTTATGTCTTTTTTGTTATGGATGAATGGGTTGATTGGATGGATGGTTTGGGACAGGAATTGGAGCTGGACAAGTTTATAAAAGAGGAAGTGGCGCTTTCGGAGATCAATGAGGCTTTCGATGGGTACGTGGATGGGCAGCAGGGCCTTCGCCCTGTGATTCGAATGCAGGAGTGATGACCACAAGATAGAAGAAGAAGAAGAAGACAGGAAGTCATTTGGTTCATTTGGTTTAGGATGATTCATTAATGGAGTTAATTGCTAGTCATTACTTGGTTTAGTTGTCTGGTGTGGTATACTTTGGTTCTGTTCTGGGTTTTGTGGCACTTGTTTTTACAATTCTTGTGTTGGTTTTGGTTTTGTTTCTTGTTGCTTAGTACAATTTCTCAGGTGCTTGAAACGGTTGTAGGATTGTTTGATTCATTGGTTGATTAGAGTATGGGTCTTTAGGTTTGAGCATATTCTTGAATCTGCACTTAACTTGGCAAAAAGACCAAATCTTATACGTAGTGTTGTACATTTTTTCTCAAGTTTAATTCAGATGAACATTTTTTTCAATCACAAAATAAAATTCACATTTCCCATTTTTTTCTCTTTTGAGGAAAGAAGTTTGTTTCCTGCAAATAATTGTTCGTAGTGATCAAAAAATTATCACTAATTACTATGTCTAACCTTTGAACAAATTTATAACCCACACTTTTCAACGTTTTTATTTTTATTGTATGTACTACTCAATTTATACTCCATAATACAAAATGATTATTGTTATTAATATATCTAATACTTCCAACCTAATCTTGAATTTTAGTTGTTTTAACCTCAGCTGAATTATTCTTCGTTATGACTTAACGGCAAACAAACTAACTCCTCCATTCCTAATTTTACAAAACAAGTTTATATTATTTTTTATTAGGTACTATCAGTCTAATTCAAATTAACGTCAAATCGTTATGCTTACATATCGTAGCTATGTTTAGATAGAATGTAATTAAATTAATTAATTACTCTCTTCTTGTCTAAAGAAACCTCGGTCTTAAAAAATGTTTGTTTTTTACATTATTTCTCTTTATTCTTAATAAACTTCCATCATATAAATTTTTTTAAACTTAGTAAGAGCATGTGCAGCGGCGTGGTGAATTACTCCCACGCCCTGCCACATCAGATACACCACGTGTGGATGTAGCGAGGCACAAGAATTTCACCCCTTTCTCCCTGTCATGCGAGAGGCAACTCCCTTTCCTCTTTTTTTTACTTTTTTGAATTTTTTTGTTAAATAAGAAATATTTTTAAAAGTAGTACTCCCTCCGTCCAAAAAAGAACTTCCCACTTTCCTTTTTCATCCGTCCACAAAAAAACTTCCCATTTCTAAATTTAGTAAGGAATTGAAGGGTAAAGGTCAATTATACCCCTCCCTCTCATTCATCGTCATTATCCCCATTTACTCTACGCCACCCACCTATTATCTACCTCTACTTCTTTGCCATTTACTCCTTCACGCCATCCTCTTCCACAAACCTCTTAGATCTAGGGTTTTCCTCCTCTCTTTCGTCTCTATTCCTCCTCTCTGATACCTTCACCAAGTTGCTCTCACCTGTACCAGACCAGCGGATTTAAACGAGACAAGTGGGTGGGTGAATTTCCATGGATTCCGAAGATCTGCGCTACCTTTCTGTAATTGAAGAGACTGTGGATGAAATCAACCCTGAGGAGACCGTCGAGGATGAAAAATCCTTTTCCGCGTATGGCGATTTGGTGATTGAGCAACT